AAAGGCCATTATAATGAGCTCCAGAAGATAGAACAGAAGTGAACTTCAATAAAGGCCCATCAGACCTTCATAGTTGGTAAGTTGGAGGGATCACCACCTTCCATCAGAACTTGCACTATCTTCAGGAGAATGACAGTGGGAACCTTTAGTAGAACCTTGAAGAGGTCAATCCTACAGGAGGTAATGGAGCACAAGTTGGGCCTTGCAGCCAGAATTTAGCCTGAACCTCAGGGGTCTGCCATTGGCTAGCCGAGACTAACTGACTTAGTTCTGCACATTGCTGCCTACTTGTTCTATTGTGACAGCAGAGATATACTCTGAAAGAAGCTCTTGAATTTTTTTCTTAATTTCTTTTCGTCATATTTTTAATATTTAGTTTTAAATTTTTTCCCATTTTTCAAATTTATCATTTTTTCTTTCTTTTTCCTGCTCAGTCTCTTGCTCCCCCACATTATGCTTCATCTCCCTTTTTGTTCCTGTTAATGTCCTAATTTGGCTTTCTTCTTTCTTTTTCTTTTCTGCTTTTTCCTTCATTCAAGTCTCATTAGTTTCAAGGGAAAGTTAGTATAATTTATGATGTCCCTATTACTGTTAAGTTATTCTGTTCTTGTCTTTGTTCTTGCACTCTGTCTTTCCCTCTTTTCTTCAACACTTTCCTAGAGTTTGTGTGATCATCCTGTGTCTTCTGGCTTCACTTGAAACTGTCTCCTATTCTTCTACCTATCTATACCTCTCCTCTTAATTCCCAAATCCCCATACTGAAGCATAAAATTGCTATATTGAAGACTATTCACTATAAATATATTTTGGGTCGGTCCTCAATTTTGTTTTAATTCACATGGTTAAATGTGATAGATTAATAACTACCACAAATGGGCAATTTCTAAGCTGTGCTTAATTCTGTTGTATTGCTGATTGGATAAATTGTGCTAAAGAGTTGTGATTGATTTAAAGAGTTGTCCTTTCTGATATTATGAAAATGAGAGTGTTTATGAGTCATTAGAGACTCAAAAGCTAATGAGCAGGTATATAGGGAAGATCAAAGTCCCAACCCAGGAATTAAACCAAGGACAGCCTAACAACAAAAATAAAAATGAGACAACACTTTAGCAAGACCCAAAGACAAAATTCCAGTTCACCAATGGCAAATTCTAGGGGAAATTAGGTGGAAATTTCTGACAGTCAACCACCTGGGCCTCCTTAACTGATAGCACAGAAGTGACAAGAGATCAATTAGTCTCTAGAAAAATTCTACACAGAAATAATTTCCCAGATACCTACACAGATGATGAGCACAATGAGGGACATGATTAGAGACTCTAGAAGAGAAACTGACAAAAAAATAGATGAGCTCAGGACCATGATATATGCCATGAATTCCCAGCATAGGAAAGAAATGGAAACCATGAATGACCAAAATAGGTGTGGCAGTCCAGCTGTCACAATATGAACATGCCTGAGTTGGGGAGTGAGGATTAAGAAAGGAAAGAACACTCAAGCCTGAGTGGAGACCAAGAGAAGTCTTCTTTATTTCACAGAAACAGCTCTTTTTAAAGGCACATCAACAGGAAGCACCTGGCTCCTAGAGATAACATCAGATCTTTGGCTATCAATAGGAAGCACCTGCCTCCTACAGCTAACATCAGATCTATGGCTATCTCCTCCATTTCCTCCCTTTGGAGGGTTAAAGAACAAACAAGTTTAACAGAGTCCTTGAAAAGGAACAAATGTTACCAAATGTTAATTAGGAACATCCTGACCACACATTGTATCAATGCCTTAATTGTAGAGAAAGAAGTTATCTTTCAAATGTCAAAATGCCAGTGGGCAATGACTGGCCCCCACATTACCCCCTTTTTATTATATTTAGAGCAGGAACTTTCCAAGCTCAGTAGAAAAACTGTGCCTGTCTTAGGTGAGAAATGTCCAGAGAAATCCCTTACTCATCATCAAGCCATTAGAAATTTAATACTCATGCTCTGTCTTAGGTTGGATATTTCTCCACAATTCTCTTACCCATATTTGACTACCTGCCTCAGCAGGGATTATACCATAGGTTGTGGAGGTTTGATATGTAGTTTTCTCTACCTCTACCAACATTTGTAACCCTTGATCCTCATACCAGGACTCATTAATTTTTACAGGCATCATTACAAAGGGAGATTGTCTCCAAACCATTACAGAATGAAAGGAAGTCATCATTTCTGAGAATATACAATTGGTCAATTTACAATTAAAACAGTTGATAGTATATTAATTAACATTTTCATACACAACTGAGACATCTCCCACTAATAGCATATAAGGAGCATTAACACAAGACATTATTCTCTTTTTCTACTGTTCTTTAACTTGAGATAACACAGTATTTATGGTATTTCACATATTAGAGGCCCCTATGCCAATAATACCAAGACTGAGGCTAATAGCTTTGACATATGACCATAAACATATTTCTCCCAATGCAGCAGTAAGTTTCCAAGTGTTGGTTTGAGAAAAACCTGAATCTGTCCACCAAAGTCTTTCAGATAAGCTTAAGTCAGTGGAATTTCCAAGTGACCAGTCCAAAAGCTCTTGAGATGTGTCATTAAATAAACTTTCCTGAGGTATAGTAACATAATATCTTTTCCATAAAATTGTAGTATTAAGGACTGTGGAGTTTCACCAGTCCCATTAAATCCTTGTTCTGGATAAAGAAGGGACACTTTTTGCTTTGTGGAATGAAATTTCTGCATGTGCACCGAGACACATCCTGGAGTTTTCTCTGCTGCTTCATCGTTGGGGTCCCAATCCAGTCTCCTCAGTGGAAACCCAGCTTCAAGTTGTTCAGGGATAGTGGTGGGTCTATAAATGTACCTGTAACCATAAGTAGGTGGAGCAGAAGAGAAGGGAGAAAACCTAGACCAAAAGGTTGTTATCATAAACAATATGCTGGAAAACCTGCATGGTTAAACATGAATACATTTTGTATACCAGAAAAGTAGCAATAATAATTATAATTATATGAAATCTTATGTCTTGTAATGTAGCTTTGTATCAACAGGATCTTCCCCCTTTTTTAACAGAAAATATTATATTTTGAAGATAACCATCATAAACATGTTACAATAACTTTTAGAATTCAGCATTTTGATGATAACCAATGTAAGCATTTTTGACAACATATTTAACAAGGCATATCTTTTTATAAGGCTATGAAATTTATTTGGGCGGCTCCCATTAGTGAACAAAGATCAGAATAAATTTTCTGAGCAGCTGCTTCTTTATTTACCAACAGGAGTGTACCCAAACTTAAAAGTTTATATTTAATTATCTTTTAATTTTTTAATTTAACGTATAAAGCCAGGTTGTAGAAATCAACAATGTATTTGTATTTGACGTCATTTTGATCAAAAATATAAGCAAACACTTTTGAACATTTAGACAGACAAACATATAAGACAATTCAAACTAGAGTGCACTCAGATGTTTTGGCCAATTGAATTATAAAATCTTTTAGTTATGACTAGTCAACACTTTTGCAGGTCAAAATTAACAGAGATCTCTTGTAGAATTAGGGTTAAAGGAATGAAAGCTCTTCTTGACTGTAAATGTAAACCATTTATAACAGACTTGAAACCAACAAGCATGCATAAATAAATCATTTCCACACATCTTCTCTACATATTTAGGCCTTCTGGTCTTGTATATCTTTCTTTACCTATTTTTAACAAGAAGAACATACAAAAACCTTTCATGTCAAAAGTATAACTCTTACTTATAGCTTTCCTTATATTTTTCTATCTCATTTACTATTAACCTTCTATAACAAATTTCAGTTTAAAGTGTCCTTTTTCTGTTTTTAGATTGTTACATCTTAAAATTTGACTGGCTGCCAATAGAACAGTATTAACCTTGAGTTTTTAGAAAAGAACAAGTTAACCCTATAATCGCAGTTTAAGAATTTGTAATGCACAAGAAATGTTACCAAAACTAGTTTTCACTAGCAGCTGTCATAGAGCAGAAGTTTGTGTAACTCCTAGGCTGGGTTGTTTTGAAATCTTTCTTAATTATGTGGAGCCCAAGGTCAGCTGTAGTCCAACGGACCTCCTGGAAATGGTTTAAAATCAAGATGAGCAGGGTAGACGAGCTCTCTCCCATTTTATCATAAATAGTATTTGACCCTCTCTGTGTCCTATTTAATTTTGCTGGGATTTTTTACATAGTTTTCCAAATTCAGACTTCTACAAAAGGAAATTGCCCCTTGCCAGGCAAGCTTTAGCTATTTGTTTTCAATCAAAAGGAGATAAAGCATCAGTAGCCAGAGAATCAAGCATTGCTAAAGTAAAAGGGGCTGATGGTCTATATTGGGTGCAAGCCATTTTCAATTCTTTTAATTGTTTAAAAGGAATTGGAGGATGTTGACGAATGGGGCTTTCCTGAGCATCTTGAGCATCAAATACTGGGCAGATAAGGAAAAATCCAGATAAATCTTTCTCAATATTTAAAGCTTGTTGTAACTCTTGTTGAACAGGGGACAAAAGAGGTTGAGAATTGATCCTAACAGGTTTTTGATTTTTAAGGGGCTCTGAAGCTAGAGCAATTAAAGAGGGCTCTCTCTCTCTCTCTCTCTCTCTCTCTCCCTCTCTCGTGTGTGTGTGTGTGTGTGTGTGTGTGTGTGTGTGTGTGTGTGTGTGACTGGGATCCAGATTATCTTGGATGAGAGTCCACAAATGGAAAGTACCCATGGGTACCTTGCTAGGTACCTTGCTAGGTATTATGTGCAGCATAATAATCCTGTAATCGTTTTCCTACCTTACTCCAAGTATCTAAGTTTACAGTGCCTTCTTCAGGAAACCAGGGACAAACCATTTCAACAAATTCTAAAAAATTACACAATTGCTAGTGCCCTACTCTAGCACCACCGACACACAATAAATCTTTAAGCATATGTACAAAAAGCATGCAACTATTGCTGGCTCCCATTTTTAATATTTACAAGAAAAATCATGGCTCCTTACCTTTTCACTGAGGCCTCATTCTTCTCTGTGGTGTCCTTCACTAGATTCCTTGATACTCAGGTCCCTGTTTGGGTGCCACTGTGGTGGTCCCGCCATCACAACACAAACATGCCTGAGTTGAGGAGTGAGGATTAAGAAAGAAAAGAATACTCAAGCCTGAGTGGAGACCAAGAGACATCTGCTTTATTTCACAGAAACTGCTCTTTTTAAAGGCACATCAACAGGAAGCACCTGACTCCTAGAGATACCATCAGATCTTTGGCTATCAACAGGAAGCACCTGACTCCTACTGATAACATCAGATCTTTGGCTATCTCTTCCAGTTCCTCCTTTTGCAGGGTTAAAGAACAAACAAGCTTAACAAACAGAGTCCTTGAAAAGGAACAAATGTTACCAAATGTTAATTAGGAACATCCTGACCACACATTGTATCAATGCCTTAATTGTAGAGAAAGAAGTTATCTTTCAAATGTAAAAACACCAGTGGGCCATGACTGTCCCCCACAAATAGGCAAGAAATGGAATCCCTGAAACAGATTCACACAGATATCCAGGAAATTAAAAACTGTATCAAAAACTTTCACAGCAGGATAAATGAATGTGAAGATAGAATTACAGATATTGTAGTCAGTGACCATGAAAATTTGCAATCTCTTAAAGACAGTAAGCGATCATGAGAAATTCGTCCAACAATTCCCAGATGATGCAAAGAAGAATAACATGAGACTGATAGGAATCCATGAAGTAGCAGGAGAAAATACAAATAATATAAAAAAGTTGTTCACAGAGTTAATGTCAGAAAACCTCTCAAACAGGAGAAGAATTTTATATACATATAATTGAGGCATATAGGACTCCAACTAGACATGATCAAAGAAGATCTGCACATACACATATAATAGTTAAGATTCCAGAAACACAACAGAAGAACAAAATACTACAAGAAGTTAGAGAAAAGGAACAAATACATGCAAAAGAAAGCCCATCAGAATCACAGCAAAATTTTCAACACAAAACTTTTTTACCAGTCAAAGAGAGCCTGGAGTGAGGTATTTCAAGTCCAAAGAGAAATTAACCTCCAACCTAGACTGATGTATCCTACAAAACTCTCTTTCAAAATGGATGGGGAAATGAGAAACTTCCATGACAGAGAACATCTGAGAAACTTCATGAATACCAAACCAGCACTCCAAACAATTCTAAACAATATCCTAGAAAAAGACAATGAAGATCAAAAAAACCTTGAGGCCCAACAGAGCAAATCAACTAGCATGGCAAGAAACTAAAGGGAGGGATAAAAATTAAAAAGAGTAAACAACAGGACAGTACCATGACAGTGATGTCAGTACATACCATCAAATCAATGGCCTCAATTCACCAATTAAAAGAAATAAACTGACAGAATGGATTAAGAAGCAAAATCCAACATTATGTTCTATGCAAGAAACACACCTAGTTCAAAAAGAAATTCATAGACTGAAAATGAAAGGGTGGAAAACAGTTCTCCATGTAACAGGGTAGCTTCTTTTTTGCAGACAAAATAAATTTCAAACCAAAACTAATTAAGAGAGAAAAAGAAGGCCTCTACACCCTTGAAAAGAGAAAAATTGAAGAGGGAAATGATAATCATAAATGCATATGGTTGAAATATAAATGTCCCAAAATATATAAAAAATGTTAAGGGACAAGAAAAACCAAATAAACACTAATACAATTGTAGTGGGGGACTAAATACCCCACTATAACAAATAGACAAATCACCTAGACAAAAAATCATCAACAAAATACTAGAACTGAACCAGGTTTTTGAAAAATGGACTTTATAGACATCTGAAGAGTGTTTCACCACAAAAAAAATCAAAGTATACTTTCTTTTCAGTTGCACATAGATCGTTCTCCAAAATAGAACATATACTAACTCATAGAACAGGTTTAAATGAATGCAAAGGAATCAAAGTTATCCCATGTATATTATCAGACCATAGTGCAATTCAGCTGGAGATCAATAGCAAAAGAAACTGTAATAACTTCACAAACACATGGAAATTGAACAACACTCTCCTGAATAACTGTTGGGTCACAGAGGAAATGAAACAAGAAATTAGTCAGTTTTTACAAATAAATGATAATGCCAGTATAACATTCAGGAATCTATGGGACACAATGAAAGCAGTTCTACATGGAAAATTCATAGCAGTGAATGCCCACACTAGGAAAATAGAGCATGCTCAAATAAACAACCTAATGGTGAATCTTAGGCTACTAGAAAAAGAAGAGCAAGAAAAACCCAAAGATCATACAAGGGAGGAAATAATAAATATCAGACTGGAAATCAATAAAATGGAAACTAAGAGAATGATACCAAAAAAAATTAATGAATCAAAGAGTTGATTTTTCAAAAGAATAAATAAAATTGATAAGCCCTTAGCCAACCTTGTCAAAAAAAAGGTAAGAAGAGGCTCAGAACCATGCAATTAGAAATGAAAAAGGTGAAGTCACAAATGATCCAGCAGAAATCCAGAGGATCATCAATACCTACTTGGAGAACCTGTACTCTAATAAAATGGAAAATACAGAAGAAATGGGCAGATTTCTAGATACTTATGAATTGTCAAAGTTGAATGAAGTAGATAAAAAATTCTAAACACTCCAAATACAATCAGTACAATTAAAAATATAATTAAAAGTTTACCTATGAAGAAAAGCCCAGGTCTTGATGGATTCACTGCTGAATTCTAAAATACATTTAGAAAAGAACTACTACTTCTACTTTTTAAACTTTTCAATGAAATTGAAAGGGAAGCAATACTTATGAATTCATTCCTGGAAGCAAGTATTACTTTAATTTCCAAACCAAGGAAAGACCCAACCAAAAAAAAAAAAAGAAATACAGGCCAATTTCCCTAATGAACATAAATGCAAAAATCCTTAATAAGATATTTGCAAACAGAATACAGAAGGTTATCAGAAAGATCATACAAAAAAATTAAAATGAGAAAATGGAAATAAAGTGTTTGTATTTTTTTTTATTTTTTCTTTTATTGAGTTTGTTGGTATATTTAAGGTATACAGTTCAATTATGTTCATTATTGGGATCTTGTACCTTTACATGACAGGTGGTCTTGGTTCTCATTTTTTCCCCTTTTCTGTGCCCTCCCTTCACCCGCTTCTCCCCTCCCCATTTACAAACACTTTATTTCCATTTTTTCATTGTCATATTTTTTTTCTTTTCCCTTATTACCTTTCCCCTACCCTTCCCATTTGCCCTACTCCTTTAGGCCTTTTCTTCCTATTTCACATGGTCAATTATATCATTAGGATCTTATGTACTATTATATTTTTTAACACCAGAGAAACTATTTGGTATTTACATGTGTGACTTATTTATTGCACTTAGGAGCATACCTTCAATATGCATCCATTTTCCTAAGAATGAATCTAATTTCTCATTCTTTACAGCTGAGTAGTATTCCATTTTATAGAAAAACCACAACTTCTTTATCCAGTTTCCAACTGATAGGCAAATGGACTATTTCCAAGTTTTAGCTATTACAAACTGTGCCACTATAAACATGGGTGTGCATATATCACTGTGGTATGATTCTTTTAATTATTTTGGAAAGATACCCAGCAGAGGGATGGCTGGGTCAAATAGAACCTCTAGTCCAAGCTCTTTGAGGTATCTCCATATTGATTTCCATAGTGGTTGCATCAGTCTGCACTCCCACCAACAATGGGGAAGGGTTCCTTTCTCCCCACAACACCTCCAACACTTGTTATTGATTGATTTCTTGATAGCAGCCATTCTTTGTGGGGTGAGGTGGAATCTCAGTGTTGTTTTCATCTGCATCTCTCAAATGACCAGTGATGTGGAACATTTTTTCATATATTTATTTGCTGATTTTACTTCTTTGTCTGAGAAATATCTGTTCATTTCAGATGCCCATTTATGAATTGGGTCTTTATATTTAGTGAGGCTGACTGTATTGAGATCTATATGTAGTCTCGATAGTAGTCCTTTGTCTGAGGAGCATCTGCCAAAAACTTTTTCCCTCATTGTAGGTTGTCTCTTAATTCTGTTGATGGTCTCTTTTGCAGTTTAGAAGCTTCTTAATAAGATGAGATCCCAGTTGTTGATTCTTTCTGCTAGTTCCCATGCTACTCAGGATTTGTTCATAAAGTCTTTTCCTATGCCAATGTCTTCAAGAGTTCTGCATAACTTATCTTCCACTAAGTTCAGTGTTTCTGTTCTAATGTTTAGATACTTAATCCACTTGGATTTTAATTTAGTGCAAGATGAAAGATAAGGGTCCAGTTTTAATCTTTGGTAGGGTGAAATCCAGTTTTTCCAATACCATTTATTAAAGAGGTTATCTTTCCTCCACTGAAGATGGTCAGCTCCTTTGTCAAAGATGAGGTAGCTGAGTACATCTGGATTTGTTTTTCTGTCTTCCAGTCTGTTCCACTGATCCTCAGATTTGTTTCTTTGCCAGTACAATGCTGTTTTTATCATAGTGGCTTTGTAGTATTGTTTCAAATTGGGAATTGTTATACCCGCTGCTATGTGTCTGTTGGCTAGGATGGATTTTGCTATTTTAGGTCTCATCTGGTTCCAAATGAATTTTTGAATTCTTTTTTCTAGTTCTGTGAAATATAGTGTTGGAATTTCAATTGGAATTTCATTGAATCTGTATAAAGGCTTTGGTAGTATGGCCATTTTCACAATGTTGATTCTTTCTTCCCAGGAGCAGGGGATATGTTTCCATTTTCTTATATCCTCTTCAATCCCTTTTTTCAGAGTGCTGTAGTTTTCAGTGTAGAGGTATTTTGCTTCTTTTTTAGATTGATTCCTAATACTTCATTTTTTTGGATGCTATTGTGAAAGGAATTGTTTGCATAATTGCTCTCTCAGTGACTCTATTATTTGTGTACAAGAAGGCTGTTGATTTTTGGGTGTTGACCTTGTATCCAGCTACTCTGCTAAAAGTATCAATTAAGTCTAGAAGTCTTTTGGTAGAGTTTTTTTGGGTCTTCAATGTAGGGTATCATATTGTCAGCAAATAATGACAATTTAACTTCTTCCTTTCTTATCTTTATTTCTCTTGTCTAATTGCTGTGGCAAATGTTTCCAGAACTATATTGAAGAAGAGCAGTGATAGTGG